AAAATCGGATTTAATGCGCTTTCGCCTGCAGTGTGAACGTAGCCTAAGGTGGATATTGTGTTGGTTTAAGAACTGTAGGTCAGATGAAACAAAGCAGTTGGTTGGTTGTTTTCTGACAGTTGGTAGATTGACAGCTGAAGGTAGACACCAACAAAATATGATGGCTTTTTTGTTGTTTGTTTTTTAAATGACTAATTGAATCTGATTACAGATAAGGCACAACGTCAGCCTGTACTTGTGTTAAATATTTTGTGTGCAGGGTAATTGCAGAGAAAGTACGGTTACGCTGTAACTTTGGTTCTCTGAGTGAGAGACTCTCTCCACATATTCCATATGTGGGGGGTCATACCCCGAACTTATGCAACGGAGTGGAGAAATAGTCTCCATGGTTTTCTCTTTAAAGGCTTCAGCAACATTTGAAGCACATAGAGCAACTTTATCATTCTGAGGTCATTGGTGTGATCTTAAAATAGTACAGATGTGTACAGTGTCAGTAAACATCTAAAAGCTATTTTGTGCCTCACTACAGGCAGTCTCAATCGAGAGGCACAACAGCTTGTTATTTCCTCCAGTCGCATCAAACATTTGCTTTTACTCTCAAAAGACAACACCTATATCTAGTGGATATAACAATCACAATGACTTTCTATTGGTAGTGGAGATAGAAGCAGCGTGATGCTATTTTAATGTGATAAAATCCACAAAGAAAGGAGGCTGGGTGTTTGAATGGATCAACAAAATTAAAGTCATCTGATTGCCTGCTGTGTTCGAACAACAATCTATAGTTTCTTTAAAGCACAGCAATGTTAAACTTGGTATTTTACCTAAAACCATGATTTTATCGAAAAACTACATGAGGGATTGCTATTCCTGAACTTTACCAAAACTCAATAAGGACAGTTATTGCTCATTTCCAGCTGATTCATGACTCATTCATGACTTAAAGGAGATTTTCAGAATGCAAAGCAAAAAAAAAGAGTCTGTAACTAAAGCTGCTTCAGGCTGAGGTCAGCTGTGTCACTATTTAAACCTTTGGTCATGATTAATGCAAACATCTAAAATGTCCAACAGTACACACCTATCGTAGCTATAACAGATAATAAGGGGAAGTGCAACAACAGCTGAAACTGATTGCTGGATTGATTAGTAAATGACAGAGGGAATAAAGGTCGCTTTTCAGAGAGAGCTACAGGCAATCATGAGTGCTACTGTTGCTGATATCGATTTAGTTTAACCTTGTGTTATTT